TCGAATTCTCTAGCATTGAGTCAGGTACTGGATCAGTAGAATTCCCGATTGACATCAGGTACACTTCAAGGTACACTAGGCTCATCCCGCCATCTGGTGTCGGTTATAGCAACAGGTTAGGATCTGTTAGAAAGTCGCATTTCTTCCGTCCCTGGCTGCAAAAAAAAAATGTATAAAAATTATAATTATTTAAGAAGGAGAGTCGGGAAATAAGACCTCATTTCGATCACTAAAAATACCCTATTCTTTTTTTTTTTTTTTTTAAATTCAGACATGCCCTTTCCTGTGTAGTTTAGGGAAGTTCCCCAAATTTTAGTGACGAAAATGGGTTCTTGCACACTTTTTCTTGTGTGTTAAGTTAACTGTGGCATTACTTTAGTTATAATCAGCATTTAGAATCATCTCGACGGGAAGGTCGTATAAAAATCTGGTCTTTGTGGTGACTGGTCACCTGTGGTGACCCGAATGTTGTTAGGTAGTCATAAAAACTCCCATCAAGGTTTTCTTCAGCTACATGCGAATGCCATCTGTTGCAAGTTACACAGATTTAGTTAAGGATACAAAAAATTCTCTCCGTGGGGGGGTTTTAAAGCTACATTTGTACCCTTTTTTTCCACTTTAATTTACCACTTTCAACCCCCCATCGAGTATAGTGTTTTCCCGAATTAACACTAAAGTAAAAGTCCCACTAACTCTTACACGTAGGTAGTGGTTTCTCCCCTTTACAAAACGGGATTTCTACTTATACGTTACGCTGTTACGTGTGTATGAAGAGAGAGAGAGAGAGAGAGAGAGAGATAAACACTTAATAAACCGTAAAATTACCCAAAAAATTTGAATGTAAAAATTCATTTTCGAATGGAAATCTGTCCTTGAAAAAAAAAAGAACGTCGTGTCTGTCAGTCAGTTGTGAAAACAAGAAACAATCTAGTTTCTGGAACATAAAAAGAATTTTTACCATGCTACCAGATGGACAAGTACTTTTGTCGAACATCTGGCAATCAGAATTACTACCTGAAGCGCAGCCACACGTTCTTGGTAATTTTTTAATACACCTTTTTTTTATATATATATACACACATACACTAAGGGAGCAACCAGGGTCACTGACCACGGACAATAGAAATGGTGTCTTTCGATTCTAATTCGTTACAAATAGTTGATTTTAAACTAGTAATTAACATATAAAGTTACTAATTTATCATCTGTAGACCTCATACATGTATATATTTTATAATTATCTTTCGTTTTAGGGACATTAAAAACACGCTTGGATAGTAATTTCGATTTAAAAAAAACTATTTATTTTTACCCCAAATCCTTAATTTTTACGTTAAACTCGACGAAATTAGTAAATTTTTTTGTGGAAGAAAACATTTGCATAGCATTTTTGCTTCAAAGATCTTTAAAAAATCGCTTAATTTTACATTGATATAGAGGTGGAAAAACCTTATTTTTATCCTAAAAACCGAAATTTTTACATTAACTATTAGGAAAATTGATCATTTCTACTCATTAATCGAGTTCCAAAGCATTAATTATATTACAAAACAAGGGAGAAATGAGGAAATCTCATGGAAAACCCCTCACGCTCCTGGTTTTTCCAATGATTACTTTTATGTAAGAGTTCTAAATTCTCTAAACAAAATAAAATATTTCTGAGTAAGTAAATGGATAAGTGTTAAGTTATTCTTGACATTCAGGAAGTTAATAAAATATAAATTTTTATTTAAAAATATAAAAATTGGCACGAAAGTTCCTCTATAACTAAACTATTCTTCAGTTTTAATATCATAAAAATCCCCCAATGCAGGTGGCTGATACAAAAGAAGGGGTGTGTTAGTACATTTGCGTCATGGATGAGAAGTCTTACTTCCTGTCTCGTGTTGTACTGTGATTGCGACAGTGATTAGTTCTCTCTTTCTCCGCTACGGCGCCACGGTAGTTCGGCCATATGCCAAAAGCAAGATCGCTATCAACATTAGTATAGTTTTTTAATTCTTTTTTATTTTATTTTATTTTTTTTTGAGTTTGCTTCATTAAAACACACAAAACAATTATTAAAATTCTGAATAATTCGATACATAAAATAAATTTTTTTGGGTCTTGTTTTCGTACGAAAACAATTGATAAATTTATGTGTGTCTGTGTGTATATATATATTGAGAGGATTTGACACGGTTTTGTCACGCAGATTATGCCTTTTATCGTGTCATATAACTTTTATTTAATGTTTCCTTCTTTTATGTATAAAATATTCGTAATTAAACATCAGAAAAAATACATTTTCTCAAGGAAAATCGAGTTAAAATGTAACGTAATTCGTAATTTATGAGGGGGAATACGTAAGATTCGCGAGAGAATTGCTGTACTGTGTCGAGAATTTCGTTAAAATTTCATTAACAAGTGAAAGTTTTTTTGTATATTTTAAATAGAATATTCCATTTTAAACACTAGAAAATGCATTTTCTAGTGTTTAAAATGGAATATTCTATGTTACAAAACATAACAACCGTCTATATTTATCATTTTCTAAAGTGTTTCTAACAGGAAATGGTAACATAGATAATATAAAAATAAATTTTTTAGTTAACATCATAACAGGAAAACATCTAAGACAATGTTTCTATACGATTTTATATAAATTAAATTAATTAAACAGAAAATTCGCTAAATAACTTTGCATAAATTATGCAAATTAGCTAAAAAAGGATTGATTAAACTCAATCGGAAATTGTTATGTTATTTTTTTGACTCCTAATTTTGATCAGGGATCCATATATCCGTTAAGGGGGTACCAAATGGTACCCTGCGGAAGCACGTGCCACGTACAGTACACGTGGCCCTTATAATTACTACTTAAGGGTGTTCTTTATTGAAACTATAATTACACCCCATTCTATGTAGCATAACGTACGAATATATGGCATGGTCAAGGCGATAGGTCATAGTTATATTACTAATTTAATTGTCAATTTTGATCAATTGTAACTATTGTAAGCGGCGAAAGTTAGTCCTATCAATTTACATTCAATTATCTTTAATTATAAGCAACTTGTACAGTACATTGTTACAGTAAAAATGTACAAAAATGAACAGTTAAAGTCTTACTTTAATACATCTTAATAGGGTTCAAGTCGAATAATTAATTCATAGAATATCTCATTGTTCAGGGATGTAAAATGTAAATACAATTAACTAATCACTGTGTACTTCGGGGGTGTTTTTTAGGTTACTATAAGTGTGTTTTACCGTACAGAGTTTACACTACTAAAAAAATTCTAATTTTTACGGATATTCGAGTGTATAAATGCTGAAAATAATTGTGGTTATTCAATGTTTTGACCTATTTTATAATCTAGATGTACCGGATGTTTAGTGATTAGTTGGACGTTGTTTTCGGTAGTGTAAGAAACTTAGGTCATAGGGTCAATAGTTTGCACGCGTATTCTTAATAACAGTAGCTAAAGAACAGTTTCCTAATTAACTTTCTACCACCTTTAAACTCGACCTCGAAGTTTCCTTTTGGGTGATTTTTATCTAAGAAACACGAGCTATAGATTCTCCCCCTCTCTAGTTAAGTTTAATTATGGCACATTTTTTTTTATTTTTTATTTTCACAAGTTTAATGGGGGCATGACATACCCGAGCGGGATCGTAACCACGCCAAAATCAACTTAGTTTTAGGTGAATTTGTTTAGCGCCTCGACGTTATGGGTTGAACCTTTTGTCGTATTGACAAACTGAGGTGTAAAGGTCCTCTACTAGTAACACGTATCCACCTGCTTTAAAAACTCGACATATCTAGGGCAGGGTTCACCTGCTTTCAGAAATCTCCGCTTTTTTTATGTATACCTATCCCCTGAACCCCCCCTCAGCATAGGGGAAGGTGGTTTCTGACAACAAAAGGCGAAACAGATGTTAGGGAGGTAAGTTCTAGACACCCTCGCTTCGTGGTACCATCATTTTTTTTTTCTATACCTTCCATTCCTCGCACTGTACTTGATAAGAGGCGTATGCGGTTTGATAAAAGATGATGCCTTCTATTCGATATTTTCGTCTTCCTTTAATAAAGGCCCTAGTAGAAGTTGCGTGTTAGTGGTACGCGTGCCAGCTGCTTTATAAAAAGGAAACAGTTAATTCGGACATTTAGTTCTTTATCGCTCAACTACCAGATGATGTGGACATGGAGAAAAACCTTTAACGGAATCGTGAGCGCTGCTTCGTATCGGCCATACTTGGTTGGTGATGTGAACACAAAAGCACACGATAAAATTCTCCCTTTTAAAGTAAAAACGTGCGAGAGAAAGTCACCTTAAGATCGCTCCTCTCTCTCCTACTCTACGTTACAGTTAATATACGGAACTTAGTGTTGTGTGTATGTGCCCTCCCACCCCTTAACCTTGGAATGGGATGACACCCGCCAGACATTATTGGCGTAATTAGATGGACTTATCAGACAGGATACTTTGTTGACCACTGGATGTGTGCTCTTTTCTAGTGGTGCATTGGGTACTTATTTGTAGTTTTTATCATTGATTTTCACATGGGGTACCATACAAAACCAGGTAAGATTATTTAGAAATAGGACCCTAATTATTTTTAATATAAATCGTGACATATCTCACCAGCTTATTCGTTCTATTGCCTAGTATATTACTGACTTATATAACAAACGATACTTAAATACTGTCGATAAGTTTAAGAATAAGTAATTAATTGGTACATTAAGTAGACGATAATATATGGGAAAGTTTCCTATAAGATTTTATCTTATAATTATTTAAATTATATCTTTTCGTGTGAATTTTTGAAGGATGTTGGAGCGTATAATACACGAGTATATCATTATTTTATATAATATATACTTGTGTATGTGTGTGGGAAAGTAAAGCAATATTATTCTTTAATATCCTTTCTGTATTCTGTAAGAATAGAAATATTTCGAAAGCTGTTATCTTTCTTTCTTTAATTCTTATTTTTGTCTTTCGTACTTGTAGATCTCCCAACTCAGGTGCCACCATTGACTCCAGGGACCAATCAAAAAATGACGCAAGCGTTGAGAGCAAGTTTCAGCAGTTGGGAGAAAGAAAGAGAACAACAAAACATTCCCAAAGGTATTTTTTTTTTAGATTCAGAAACTTATAAAATCTCTCTAAAAATTTCATCTTTTCTCTCCTCCTCTCCATCCTCTTTCCATACATCCTCATCTTGTTCCTTGATCCCCCTCAGCATAGGGGAAGGTGGTTTCTGACAACAAAAGGCGAAACAGATGTTAGGGAGGTAAGTTCTAGACACCCTCGCTTCGTGGTACCATCATTTNGCAATTTTCCAATGATGATAATTTTGTATTTTTCAAAAAATACAAATTTAAACAGTATAAGAGGCAAATAATTAGCTTAAACAGTAGAAAAAAGAATCTAAACATCTGTTTCATCAATTCGATTTTTGTGTTTTTTTAAAGAAGAAATTTACAAAAAAAAAACGCAGCTAATAAAACAAATCGGGAGTGTTGAAACGGTTGATGTGATATAAATATTGATGAAACAATTGTTCTTCTTCAGCTGTATTTTTTTAACAAACAAAATTAAATTAATTAAATCTTCTTCCTTTAGAAGTTCTATAATTTTATTTTTTATTAAATTTATAAAATTTGAATCGTTGAAAGACCCTAATTAGCATAAAGGAAAACGTTAAGTTTAAGAACGAGTCATTTCTTACAAATCCAAACCCCAATTTTTTAAGTATTGTTCTATTCCTGTACGTATAAAAAGTATATTATTTCTGTAAAGCACGTCATCATCCCCTTAAGTCATTTAGCAAAACGGAGAGATGGTTAGAGAATGTTTGGCTCTAAATTTTCCGAAAGTATATCGAGGAGTGTCTTAGAATAACACGCAATCCTACACCCTTTAAAGTCTATCAATAATACAGAACTGGTACCTGCCACACTAAACGATTGCAATCTGTACCAATGGCCCGCATTTTACGGTCAACAATTGCGAATGTCAAAGACGTGTAAAGGGAAAAAGAGAGAAAGCGCACGTTTTGTATTAATACATTGTTTTCTATTGAGCGTGAAAAGGTTTCTAAAGAAAGTAGGACTTTTATGCCTCACCCACTTTGCCCTTCTAAATGTTTTTTTTTTACCTTACTTTCCCTTACTAGGAGGTTATAACCATATCTCCGAATCGATGCACACGTTGAATGAGATGAGACATGAAGACGTTGTTCTTGGTCAGCACTATGACGAGACTCAGGAATATGGACTGGAAGCTGCACCTACCCATCACACATACTTGGATAACAGTTCAGAGTTCTATCCAACAGACGCTTCTCTGTCTCTCAGTCAAGAATCAAAGTATCAACCTCCATATATGGGAAAGAATTTTCGAGGTGAGTCTATATGAAAAGCTTGCCATTCTCTATTTTTAATACAGCGTATCTGGGTTTTTCCAATCTGTTTTTTTTTCTTTCTAAGGGAGAATTTTTATGACTATTATAGAATAGAATACCTTTAACAATTCCCTTCTTATTATTATCTGATGGCCTATTTATATTTGAGACAGGAATCATTGTGGAATGAATAATGAAATTTGCCATTTATTATTAAATATTTTAACTAATCAGCAGCTGATGTTGCAAATATCAGTTGTCTTCTAAAATCTAACTGAATTAATAATACAGCATATAAATTAATTTAATTTTTAGGGAGGTATCCTACTCATGACATGGGAGTAACAGAGGGATACAGCCCTCACCATTACGAACCGCCGTTTCAAACCGTTCCTTCCTCTGTGCCTACATCTCCCGGCCAGTGGCCGCCGGAATTGGGAGCTCACATGGGCCTTCAGGGAAATCACGCTCCGCATCCCCACCATCCTCACCATCAGGGATTCGGAGGACTCACAACGCGAGACAATCCGCTCGGACCCATGGGCCACGTGCAGACGCAAGTCCCGGGACATGGAGGTGACACCAAACCCGTCATTCAGGCCGCCGTACTCGCAGGTTACTCGGGTGTGTTTTTGGTACTGTTATGTGTAGTGTGCATACGGTAGGATAGATGGAATGCGTTTCCATCTATGCTACGTTGCAATCTTCTGCAACTGTGCCAAAGACTATAATGAAGGAAAAATATGTAGGATTAACTATAATCTTTCTAATGCTTGTCAATTATGAATTATCTCAAGAAATGAAGTATTATATACACATTTATTCTCTTTTAACACTTTTTCTGATTAATTATAAAATTAACAATGCACTTACTGAAAAAAACCTGCAACTTTATTAACTTAAAAATGCATGTTGGCATGCATTAGCACATATCTTAAAAGTAGATTAATTATCTAAATCAAAAATAAAATGAAAAAATGATAGATTTTGTATCTGAAACCATTCTGAAACTAGTAACTATAAACAAAGAAAGTTGTCCACTTTTAGAAGTGATGATCAGGATTTTTAATATAAAAAATTAATTATTAGCAAACTTACAAATAGATGTTTACAATCAGTTCAAAATGACTTTAACAGCATGATTTTTCATTTAAAATAAAAGCTAAATTATCATCATAATTTCAATCCTACATATTTTTCAACAGCAAATAATTTATTAAATTATTTCTTTAGACACAGAATATATAGATAATGAACAATAATATATAAATCTATTATAATGAATTTAATTTTATAATCATCACTGTTGCAGCAGACACTACACAGATCTGGACTAACTACGATATAAATTTATATAATATATTTATATATATATAAATATATTATATAATAAGCAATTAATCATATAATTGCTTATTATATAATATATTTATATATTATAAAGCTTATGATTCGATACAAATACGAAAGTGGGAATTTTTAGCTGGAATTATGTTGAAAAAAAATAAAATTAGGTTGATGTGGGACGTAAATTACGAAACGTAAAGACTAGTGAGAATATATTCTAGATTAATATATTTATTTAGGATAGATTTATGCAAATTTCTCGACGTAATGCATCGTCAAATATTTAGTAAAACGACAGCGTGTGTGTGTGTAAGAGAACTCCAAATAGACTGTAATCGAGGGATGTATGTACCTGTTCGTTTTGAGAATTTTTAATGTTACATGGAGGAATATCACGCGGGGATTTCCAGAATTTTTATTGTTTTCTACACAACAGGATCTCTACCATCCGGTTGTCTATATGACGTTGCTCTATTTAATTGATCCAAATTGTGAAACGATGCATGCAAGGATAAATGGACAGAAACGATACATCAATACACAGGATGCTGTGCTACGGAATTTCGCTCTCGACCCTCCCTTTTCCCACGTTTTTTGAGTGGTTTACTATTAACAAAACTTCCATTGAATCAGAAATTGGAAGGTGGAAGCGGATGGACACGTACAGTTGTACGTTCGTTTACCGTTTTGGTCCACCCAACATTAAAATTTTTACACATTTTAAACAAGAGGGGGGGGGACACAGGAAATTTAACAAATAATTTCTTTAAAAAAATTAAATTAATAATAATAATAAAAATATATATCTTCGATTTTAATGAGGTTGTATGAGTTTAGTAAGTCATATTTTTAAACATCTTTCACCCTCCCCGCTTCCTTTATTTTACTAGTAATGTATGTGTAAGTTGTTTTCTCCTTACTTTCTATTGAGTTTAGTCAAGAGTCGAGACACGAAAATAGAAAGTTGACAGAACTAAATCAACTTTCTGACAGAAAATAGCTAAAGTGGACACGATTTTCGTACTAGAAAAACAGATGGACTCTGTACCAATCTCTCTGGCGTCGCCATTTTCTATTTAGTTACAGGTTAAACACGAATAGAGAAAAAAAAACAGATCAATCTTTTAGTCGATTCACCTTCCTAAACGGGGATAAAATTGCGGAAACGTCTACCAAATCGTTTTCTTCCAATTCACCTTATTAGATTTCCATTGTGTGGTACAGATGGACAAATCGTCACATATAAAAACAAACAAGAATTTCTGTTCACATGTTGTTCTTGTTTCAAAGTCGACTAAACTATATACGAGAACCTCTTCGACCCTTTATACTTAAACTAAATTATATAAATATATATATATATATATATTTAAAGTATAAATACGCCGATTTATACTAAATTTACTGGTGTTAACGACGAAATTCTTTATATATTTTTATGTACTTTTTACAGATCCTAGACAGTGGAGTGAGATGGACGTCGCCCATTGGCTTAGTTGGGCCATAAGAGAGTTTAGTTTGGAAGGTGTAAACCCGCAGAACTTTAGTATGAAGGGCAAAGATATGTGCGCCCTTGGTAAAGATGCATTCCTAGCTCGCGCCCCACCATTTATGGGAGATATACTATGGGAACACTTAGATATACTTCAGAAAGGTAAGAACTCTTTCCATGTTATCGCTACTTAAAAATACGGTTTGATACGACGTACAGGTTAAAACGTACACAGGAAATGAGCCGATTTGTTGACCCGAATAACCTCTGCCCCTAGTTAAATTAGCGTAGACACGTGTCGACACGCGTCATACCTCGGTAAGAAACGATCACCCCCTCGATTATGATAAAAGGAATGTTTTAACAAGTGAAGATCGCACAAAAAAAAAGAAAGCTAGTGTAAGGTTCTAAACTATTATAGGGCCCGTCCACCGAACGGGACAACCCTGCTGTCCTACATCCTGCTCCACTGACGCGTGTCACATGCCTCCCTCTGCATCGTTAGTAGTCGAACCACTGACTAATATGGAATGACCAACTCCGAGATAGTCTACGAATGTGTAAGTGTTACCTACCTTGTTTAGCGTAGTTTCGGCACACGACAGTCGATTATTCGCAGTGTACTGAGTGTTAAATAGCGAACCAACATCCTGACCGGACGGCACTGGGCATCCTGGAATCGTACTCAACATCCGACAATTCTCTAGTTGCTGTATGTGGTAGTATTATAGACCGGGGGCTTTTCCATATACTCACTTCCTACCGGTGTTTTGATCTTTCCTTTTCACCCTCTTGGGATTTCCTGGATGTAAGTATGGTGTCATGTCCTTCCTTGCACCCTATCGACTCCATAATATAGCATTTACTATACTACACCGTCATACTATAGCATAACGATGACTTTCAACATTCGCTATATAACACGCCAGTCACCCTCTTAGTTTGTTGACACTTTATAGTTAAAGTTTTAAGGTTTTTCTTTTTATTAATAGCTTAATGTAGGAAGCGAGAAATCGCACGATTTAGTGAAAATTTTATATAAATTTTTATTCAGTTTCTACGGAATTAAATTGAGAGAGTTAGGAAAGGCATTTTAGCATCCTCTTCAATAGAATTTTGTAATTAAAAGTGCAATGTTGTTACAAGATGATGTGTCGAAACTAAGCTAACATCTGCGTATTTATATGCTAAAAAAAGCTATTATAACCTTTAGATTTTCGTATGATATAATTAAAAATATACACAAATAAATTTTTAGGAGTAATTATATTATTAATCCCTTCTAAAAAGTCATTAATGTAGAATTTAGGATAATGATTCGAAACTAGTTTAATCGTTTATTCCTACATTATTATTATTATTAATCATCGATTTATCTAACTTTAAAAATAAATCTTTAAAATGTTCGGAGTTTCTCTAAGCGATGAGCATCACTAAGAGGAACGAAGCTGATAAGTTATGAGCAATTTTTATCAAATATTTTCTGATAAAAAATGTATATAAATGTGTCGTTAATTTAAAGAAAAATGTGAAATATTTTATTTTATTTATTAATTTATTATTACAATCTCTAGCAGCTGTTTATATATAAAGTAGAATTTTCTTTTTTTTTTATGTGTATATAAACATCTGGATTTATTATAAAAGATTCATTAATTCTATAGAAATTCTTCTGTATTTTTTTAGATGCCGATAAAGAGAGAGCATCTTTAGAAAACGTTCCACCAAATCTGTACGAATCGGTATGCATGCCTGAATTCGACGAATTTTTTCAACAAGGTACTGGGTATCCTCTACCCGAACAAAAAGTCACCCCCGTCATGAACGGAGGAGGTACACCAGCAAGTACTCCGGCATCGGGAAGTCAACATTATCTAGAAGGTAACTAAATCTCTTAATTATAATTAATCCTCTATCGAAACCGTAAATAACCCGCGTCATCTCTCGTGTCGTATTCTCTCACTCTCTTCCCTTCACGAAACACATTTCCACTTATCAGTTCTTACACCTGTTCGAGTCTAAGATGGACGGAAATAGGTGGTGCAGATAGACCGGAAGAGTGTGCCCACTACGTCATAACCCCCTCTTCCGGAAGTTACGCCTTCTGTGCAACGTCATAAATCCTGACCAAACTGGTATCTGGCAGGTGGGGTCGTTTTTTTTTTTTTTTAATCAATTGCCCAGAAGGGATCCATTTTATCCCCCTATTCTTCCGTTACAAACCACGTGGTCACATTCAAAACTCTCGACGTCTATAAGAAGGGTTAGTATATCCATATATATTTTTAAAAAATATAATTTATTATCTGTAAATAGTTCTTTTAAGTATCGACAAATACGTCAAATAATACACTATTTATTTGAAACTGTTTGCTTTATTAGTGATCAAATGAAACTTATCAGCTTATCGCCGAAAATAAACGAAGAAATCTTTTCTTAATGTAGTTCTAATCTAATTTTTTTCTATAGTTTCGGCGCCGTTTTATGTTCTAGATGGCATTTGTTTAGCAAATTTTTAAACAGGAAACGAGCGTGAGATCAAACGTTCGAGTTTGCTTAATGCCTACATTATCATCTGCTAATTCTTCCAATTTCCGATCTAAATTAGTGGCGAGATTTTAGGTAAGTGAACAGACAAACCGACGTTCCCTTCCTCCCCATTAAAAACTCTTTTAACATTTCGTAACGTGTTTACTACGTTAAGCAAGCGATAATGGCACCCTTTTTTTTTCCTTCCTCCCCCCTTACAAAACAATAGCATAATGCCTTTTTTTTATTCGTCAGTATACACGAGTAGACGTTAAAAATACATCTGCCGTACATCTAGGCGACTCTACGAACATTGCGTGACTAGTCACGATCACTTACTTCCGGACAGTGACGTGCTTGGATAAACAACGTAGTCTAACACCGTTAACTTCACGTGCCTGACGTCATATCCGTTTCCTGTCGTCGAAGATGCAGGATACATATCTCCACACACGTCTAGAGGGACGGAATTTAATGGGATTTATGTGAAATCAGTTCGTGTTTTTTTATTTTATTTAATCTATACGTGACGAATACGGTATCTACATCACGTGTTTGAAAACAGATTTAAGCATTAAAAAAAAGTCAAATTTTAAGAAGAAACACAAAAAACGACTCAAAAAAAGAAGAAGAAAGGGTGGATATATAAAAGTTCGTTTCTCATAAAAATCACGTTAAGGTAGTATTTTAGACAACACCATGCCAACTCGAACGGCTATTTTAGCTAGAGTTATGTAGTTAAAGCCTGTTATTTTGGAGTCAGGCATGACAAGCTTGGGAAACTTACTGGTCCTACGTTGACCACCTGTCTGTCGGTCTGTTGCGCTTGGATACAACCATTTCCTTTTCATATACCTTCCTACAGGGCATTTTCCATCTACGTCGAGATTTTAAGCTTAATGTGATCAGCTGGGAGGAGGAACGGAACCATATTATCGAATTAGGCTGTTTGTTTGTTAGTTTTTTATCACAATAGAAACGTACAAGATTGAATTTCCATCTGATTTTATATATTATTATTATTAATATTAATACATTTTTGTTCAGAAATTTGTTAGAAAAGTTTAAATTTTGTACGTTTCAGTTAAAAATTCCACCCTTTTCGTATATGAAATGTACATTTTTATGTAAATATTGTTAGAAAATTTGTATGTTTCTTATTAACTCACGCCTCAATTATTGAAATATACAAATTTTCTTAACGTTGTTTCGAAATTTGTACATTTCAATAACTGCTTTTTTTTTATTGTTGAAATGTACAAATTTTCCAATGATGATAATTTTGTATTTTTCAAAAAATACAAAATTATCATCATTGGAAAATTTGTACATTTCAACAATTAAAAAAAAAAAGCAATTTTCCAATGATGATAATTTTGTATTTTTCAAAAAATACAAATTTAAACAGTATAAGAGGCAAATAATTAGCTTAAACAGTAGAAAAAAGAATCTAAACATCTGTTTCATCAATTCGATTTTTGTGTTTTTTTAAAGAAGAAATTTACAAAAAAAAAACGCAGCTAATAAAACAAATCGGGAGTGTTGAAACGGTTGATGTGATATAAATATTGATGAAACAATTGTTCTTCTTCAGCTGTATTTTTTTAACAAACAAAATTAAATTAATTAAATCTTCTTCCTTTAGAAGTTCTATAATTTTATTTTTTATTAAATTTATAAAATTTGAATCGTTGAAAGACCCTAATTAGCATAAAGGAAAACGTTAAGTTTAAGAACGAGTCATTTCTTACAAATCCAAACCCCAATTTTTTAAGTATTGTTCTATTCCTGTACGTATAAAAAGTATATTATTTCTGTAAAGCACGTCATCATCCCCTTAAGTCATTTAGCAAAACGGAGAGATGGTTAGAGAATGTTTGGCTCTAAATTTTCCGAAAGTATATCGAGGAGTGTCTTAGAATAACACGCAATCCTACACCCTTTAAAGTCTATCAATAATACAGAACTGGTACCTGCCACACTAAACGATTGCAATCTGTACCAATGGCCCGCATTTTACGGTCAACAATTGCGAATGTCAAAGACGTGTAAAGGGAAAAAGAGAGAAAGCGCACGTTTTGTATTAATACATTGTTTTCTATTGAGCGTGAAAAGGTTTCTAAAGAAAGTAGGACTTTTATGCCTCACCCACTTTGCCCTTCTAAATGTTTTTTTTTTACCTTACTTTCCCTTACTAGGAGGTTATAACCATATCTCCGAATCGATGCACACGTTGAATGAGATGAGACATGAAGACGTTGTTCTTGGTCAGCACTATGACGAGACTCAGGAATATGGACTGGAAGCTGCACCTACCCATCACACATACTTGGATAACAGTTCAGAGTTCTATCCAACAGACGCTTCTCTGTCTCTCAGTCAAGAATCAAAGTATCAACCTCCATATATGGGAAAGAATTTTCGAGGTGAGTCTATATGAAAAGCTTGCCATTCTCTATTTTTAATACAGCGTATCTGGGTTTTTCCAATCTGTTTTTTTTTTCTTTCTAAGGGAGAATTTTTATGACTATTATAGAATAGAATACCTTTAACAATTCCCTTCTTATTATTATCTGATGGCCTATTTATATTTGAGACAGGAATCATTGTGGAATGAATAATGAAATTTGCCATTTATTATTAAATATTTTAACTAATCAGCAGCTGATGTTGCAAATATCAGTTGTCTTCTAAAATCTAACTGAATTAATAATACAGCATATAAATTAATTTAATTTTTAGGGAGGTATCCTACTCATGACATGGGAGTAACAGAGGGATACAGCCCTCACCATTACGAACCGCCGTTTCAAACCGTTCCTTCCTCTGTGCCTACATCTCCCGGCCAGTGGCCGCCGGAATTGGGAGCTCACATGGGCCTTCAGGGAAATCACGCTCCGCATCCCCACCATCCTCACCATCAGGGATTCGGAGGACTCACAACGCGAGACAATCCGCTCGGACCCATGGGCCACGTGCAGACGCAAGTCCCGGGACATGGAGGTGACACCAAACCCGTCATTCAGGCCGCCGTACTCGCAGGTTACTCGGGTGTGTTTTTGGTACTGTTATGTGTAGTGTGCATACGGTAGGATAGATGGAATGCGTTTCCATCTATGCTACGTTGCAATCTTCTGCAACTGTGCCAAAGACTATAATGAAGGAAAAATATGTAGGATTAACTATAATCTTTCTAATGCTTGTCAATTATGAATTATCTCAAGAAATGAAGTATTATATACACATTTATTCTCTTTTAACACTTTTTCTGATTAATTATAAAATTAACAATGCACTTACTGAAAAAAACCTGCAACTTTATTAACTTAAAAATGCATGTTGGCATGCATTAGCACATATCTTAAAAGTAGATTAATTATCTAAATCAAAAATAAAATGAAAAAATGATAGATTTTGTATCTGAAACCATTCTGAAACTAGTAACTATAAACAAAGAAAGTTGTCCACTTTTAGAAGTGATGATCAGGATTTTTAATATAAAAAATTAATTATTAGCAAACTTACAAATAGATGTTTACAATCAGTTCAAAATGACTTTAACAGCATGATTTTTCATTTAAAATAAAAGCTAAATTATCATCATAATTTCAATCCTACATATTTTTCAACAGCAAATAATTTATTAAATTATTTCTTTAGACACAGAATATATAGATAATGAACAATAATATATAAATCTATTATAATGAATTTAATTTTATAATCATCACTGTTGCAGCAGACACTACACAGATCTGGACTAACTACGATATAAATTTATATAATATATATGAGTTTTGGAATTAGGCTAATCTGTCAGAACGATACGAGATGTTTATCGCCGCTCACAACCTTCTCTCTTTCAGTTCTTTCATAGAAATTATTGGAATTATTCGGTTTCTTTATTTGCAAAATTAAATAATACTTCATTATACGAGTGGCACTAAGCATCTACAAAAATTGATTGTATCATTATTCCAAGTTATAAGAATTGTTGGATCTTAGCCAAGAATTTTGAATAGAAACCAGTTTTGGTATTGTTGGAATAATGATTTAATGCGAATTGCAAGTGATAATAATCATATAGAAATTTAAAATCTTTAATTTTGCTTTTTAGTTATTGTTTAACGTATAAAGCAGAATGTAATATTAAATTTATGATGTGTATACAATGTGGTTGTACCATTACTTGAATATTTTTAAAAATCAAATTATCAATTTTAAAGGCCAGTAAGAAATTACGGCAACCAATTTAACCAAATTTATTGTTTTATTGTTCGAAAATGTAATTAAATTGGATAATTGATTGCTATGAACAAGAAGTTCAGAGAAAAAAATCTTAATGGTTTCATATATATAAATTTTTTTATAGTGTGTGTAAATGCCATTATCATAGTATAATAATTTTAAATTAACTAACTTTTTATTGCTAGCAATAAGGTACAAACCACATCGTATAAAGTAATTTATTATACATAAATTTAAAAATATTATACCAAATTAAAAGTATATATATCAAGATAGCTAACTCCCTATTTTTACTTTATTATAGGAAGTGGTCCTATTCAGTTGTGGCAATTTTTGCTCGAACTTCTTACCGATAAATCATGTCAGGGATTCATCAGTTGGACAGGTGATGGATGGGAATTCAAGCTTACGGATCCTGATGAAGTGGCAAGGCGCTGGGGAATACGCAAAAACAAACCCAAAATGAACTATGAGAAACTTAGTCGTGGCTTAAGGTATTATTATGATAAAAACATCATTCATAAAACCGCAGGAAAGCGATATGTCTACCGTTTTGTATGTGATCTGCAAGGATTATTGGGATATTCTCCAGACGAATTGCATGCCATAGTTGATTTGAAACCGGAGAAAAAAGACGACGATTGAACAACTTACAAGTCAAATCAAGCTGCAAGTTTGATATTTTTATTACCCTTGGATCTGGTCATTGTCTCATTTTAGATTTATTTTCATATTAGTTGATAGGAGGGCAGGATATGCCAATTAGTTGAGCAAAAAAAATTAATATTTTATACTCTTCGCGGAATGTTGCTGATGTATTGTTATTATTGCAAAGACAACAGACACGTCCCATCCCAGACTGTTTTGATAACTAAGAAGTCGAGCTTGCTCAGATTATATATATGTAGTATTAAGTCAGAATATTTTCCAAAAAACTTGGTCACAATTTATTAACACAGTATGACGCTCCTTCGTCTTGTTATCAATCAGATTCTGGAAACTGGGATAATTATTGTAAATATAAATTGCTTTTTATATCTATAAAAATAGGAGGTTGTTATTTTTTAATCTCCTTTGGGATATAACTTTATGAAAAAACAAAGACTAGTTATGTTAAGGTCACTTACATTTTTTAGAAAGATAGTATTATCTATCCAGTATTTTCTTGTCACCATGTTGCATAATATCGAGTTCAGATACTTTTTATCTAGTTTCATTATGTACCAAAAAGTGCCTTATTCGAATGTGATGCTACAAAGTTGGGTGGATGGTATATTGCCCATGAGGCATGTATGTCTGCTACTATTTCATCTATCAACATAACTAAACGCACATATCCATCTCCAACCATGGTGATACTTTTTTCCACACAGCCCACCCTCTTGCGATCAGTGATGCTGATCTCAAGTCATGTCTCTTGTGGGAGATTTTGTTATTTCAATTGTCAAATGAGTGATGTGTGCTATGTGTATGTATGGACATTTGGCAGAAATGCTGTTTTTTTTTTCGTGTTATTTACAAGCTGCACAGAAATATTTTGTAATCTTTGTATGTTTTCAAATACCAAAAAGAAAAAAAAGAAAAAAAAAAAGAAAATATTGGACTTTTGATTTGGCATGCTAGGGAGAACAAGATAACTATAGACATGTTATAGTAAATAACTGTATATTATATATATATATATAAACACAAAAAAGTATTATATGTCAAATAGTTGTCTTCCAAACATTTTACCATAAACAATTTTATGAAATGTTAAGATATAAAAATAATAGTTTACCTTTTCGGAGGGAGATGAAGTTATTCATATAATCTATTTTATAAACCCAATATATATCAAAAGTCCTCAAGAAAAAAAAAAATTTATATATATATATTGTTATTTTTAAAGTTTTGTGAGTATTGTATTGTATACAAACTTTAAAAAAAACAAAAAAAAAAGAAACCAATGTATAGCAATAAGTTATTAGTACAGTTTAAATAAATATTAATTACACAACAGTGTGATTACAAAAATATTGTTTGTCCTGTATGGTACGTAAATGTGCTATTGAATATAGTTATGGATGACGTGATCTTATATTTTGTTGAAGAATGTTAGTCATATATTTTGTTCGAAATCCCGAGATGCTAAATCGAATATATAATGTTCTTTTTTTGTTTGCTTTTAACTGTACTTAAAATAGCCTATGTGTGAAAATAAAAAAAAAATGCTTAAAAGAAGTTTACTTACGTAATTATCTTTTAAAACTAATACTATTTTCCTGAATATTGAAGTATTAATTTAAACTCCTAAATGAAATAATAGAAAAGACATCAGACATGATAAAGTTCAAAATTAATGAAAAGATATAAATAATTTTAGAAATTATAAGATTTATACTAGTAATACATACATTTTTCCCCTTGTTTACATATGACAATGGGATATCCAGGTATCTTTTGTAAGAAAACGTTGAGAAATAACTTATGTATGCACAAAATTATAAGTTAAATATAGATACTCATTATTATTTTCTAATTGGTGTTTATTCAAAGCTCCTCTGCTAAGAATCTTGTTTAAACAGAAGCTAATAATACAAATGGGAATGATAGTATTCAAAATTATTCTGACCACATTTTAAAATATTTATCACAAATTTCCTCTATGCACTTATTTTAAGCTTTTGCTTCCAAAAAGTACAAACCTTCCCTTTAATCCCTTGAAACAAAATACTGTAATAATATTTTTTAACTTTAACATCTGGTAACCTAACAAGCTATATACTTCCACAACTGATATGGTCTAATTGATATAAATATCATATATTTAAAAAAATTATTTGTATATAATATATTTTTTGTGTTAAAATTTTTACAATTATATAATTTATAAAACTTTAAAATTCATTACAATTTGTATAATTCATTACAATTTGTATAAATGAGATATACAAAGACTCGATTTATGCATGTTTTGATAGTTATATTGTAAAAACTATAACATAATATAAATTCTATTTAGTTTTATTTAAACAAAATTAAATTTTCTATAAATTACATCAAGAAAATAATTTTCATTATGTAAAAATTATTTACTTTTTTTAAATATTTAAGTAGAAATTCTTGTAATACATTTTATAATATAACTTTAATAGCAGCAAAGCTTTTAAGGTATATTTAAATTCAATAAACAAATTTATACTTACTTAATGCATGCAAAAATATAAAATTACCAAACTATATTTTTAATATTTAATTTTAGAAATAAAATATGATTTTTTTAAATAAGTAAATAAACACACACAATAATTTAAATCCAAGTAATTTAGAAGACGACATTAAAATTCATCTGTGCAAATACATAAAAACATTAATTAACAATTTCAAAATTGAGAGAAATTATATTTTTTTCCCCTTCTTTATAGTTGCTTATATATATCAAATAATATTTAGTAGAGAAACACTTAAGTTTTATCATGCCATTCATCTATCATAAGAAGAACTTTAATTAATGTCATAATAAAAAATTTATGATGGCTCATCTATAAAGGTTGGCAAGTACATTCGCGTAAAAAAAGATAATTTCTTTGATATCAAATTTTTCTGTGCCACCATTTTTTTTTTTGCACTCCAAAATCATTAATTATATATACACGTATAAAATAAAATATTATTCTACTTAAAAAGTATTAATGTCGAAATGTAATAAACCCCACTATAGCTGTCTTGGTGCAGAGGTCCTGGGAAAGTGGATGCCTTACAAAATATATCATCAATTGCAATTTTATATATGAGATTAGTTATCATAGTATCTTGCAGGATACTTCATCGTGATCTTGTGATCTTCGTATACTGTAATAAATCTTGCATGTCGACTACCAACGACAATTAAATATACCTTTTGTATATACAGATGAAAATGAACACAAAATAAATTACATGACGATTATTATCTTCTATTATAAAGCATGCAATAACTTACAAAAATCTATTTTTAACATATATTTGTGTACTTTGATACAAGAATATACAAATTTTATGTAGCCAGTAATTAAAAATAATATATTAGAAAAATAACAAAAATTATAAAATATATATAGATTGAATTTGAATAAATTAGAAAAAATTAATTTATATTAAAAATAGACTTTTTTTTTCTATTTATATTCAATGAAAATTTGTAATCAATAGCACCATTTACATAATTCCTTTAAGTTTACTTAAATATGTTGAGTATTTGGAGACTGATGTAAAGCATTTATTTCATCTGTTAGCTTCAAAATTTTTTTGCCAAGATGAATGGTGTGCTGTCGTAGATAATATATTAATTCAGACTGTTTCTCTAATAATTCTTCCACATAGTCTTCCTCTCTGTCATAAAAAGTTCAATTAAATATTTTTTACAGCTATATATTATAATGAATTTGAAAAAAGTTATGAAAAACATAAATAAAAATATAGTAGTACTGTATAAAATAAATTGTATGCATATCATAAATTTCTTTAATTTTTCTGCTTTTAAATATTATAAATATTTATTGGAAAACATCAAATTTAAAATACACATTAATTAATAGTTTATAATAGAAGATAAATGGCTTACAGAATTAAATATCAAAAATATAAACTAAAATTGTTATTAAATAAAATATAGCAACAAAAAATTATATAAAATCTTTCCAATAATTCTCTGCATTTGTAGCAAATATATCTTTATAAAATGTCATTCCACTTCCTTTTTTCTTAATTTTTTTTAAAAATAAGAACACAGTGGAAACTCAATTACCTGAACTTGATAGAACCAGGGGTCTTTCAGATAAATGAATTTCCCTATCCAAAATTTTGTTTGTTTTTGGGTACATCAAGCATTGTGCATAAAAGTTTCATGAACTATAAATATTGTGATGCAATTAATGCATTGGAAAGTAAATGAATTTACTCAAAATCTAATTTATTATATTTGTTGTGTGTATATAACTTAGTTTTGCAGCACTACAATTGATAGATGACAGTAATTTCCAGTTATAAATTTTTTAAAAATTATATACAAATAATTCAAATTAAATTAAAATAGTTTTAGAACAAAAAACAAATACATAAATTCTAGAATACATTTACTTAGTTGTGTACCTAATACTATATGCAAATTTATCTGTATTTTGTTTATAGGTTATAGTATTTATAGTTTATTCTCAATTCTGTCATTGAATGTTTATTTATTTCTTAACTAAATATTATGAAAATCCCTAAAACAAAATATATTTATTATTATTTGTACACATACATATAATATCAATAGTTTTAAACTACAAATACAAACTCTGAAATATGTTATTTTAATTTGAATTAATTAATTCTAATTCATTAACATACATTCCTTTATCAATCACTATTCTTTGTCATTCTTTTACTACTAATTAGTTTCACTGTCATTCATTTATTAATAAATTGTCAAATTATCTGAATACTACTTATGAAGGTTAATAAACTGATGAACACTATAATTCTAATGTATGATTTTAATTAAAATAATTAAATTTTGATGACTTAAAATTAATTTTGGGATAAATCATATTTGTTTTCTTCTAAAAGTTCATATGTCATACTTATCTGCGAGATGAGAATTTTCTGATTTTATATATTTCTTACACTAAGTTTGCATTAAAAGTAACTTTGGAAAATATCATTATTATTCTTACAGCAATATTGATTACATGCCATTTTATATATTAAACTGGTCATTTCAGAAGTCAATATTTTTTTAAAATGAACTATTCCCATTGTAGTAGGCCTATACTTGTCTATTGATTATTTTGATATCAATTCTTAAACATTCTAATTTATATATATATATATATATATACATACATACATATACACACACTTATAACTTTAATTTAATAGATCAAATAGTCAATATAAAATATTTATAAATACGTTGCAGTGAAACTATTCAGTCTTCTCATTTAAATATTAAAACTAGATTTTGTTGACCACTACACTGACTTAAATATCTCTTATTCAACCATTCTCAATTCATTTTTTAACATAAATTGAAATTATTGGAAAAGATCTATTTCTTAGCTGGAAATGAAAAAAACAAATCAGTCGTAACAATATCATCTATCTGTTGATCAATCTATCTGTATAAGAAAACTACAGTAACGTTATTACACAGGGATAACAAATAATGCTAACAACATATTTGAAACATATTCTCGCAGGAATCATTTATAGCCCAACCTGTGTGAACAGATGGAATGAATTATGATCAAAACCTCCAAAAACTTAAATATGGTTCAAATGTTTCAAAATGGTTGTTAAAATATTTTTAAATTATAGTTAGACTTTTTATATTAACCTTTAAAATTATTCAAATAATTTAAACATCATTTTAAGAATTTTATTCTAAATATGCATTCTTTCATAACATCTAATAATTTTTTTATTCTCAATAACAACAACAATAATATATAAATTAATTTATATGTATCACATATTTAACAAATTCATATAACTGAAAACATTTGCTATAGGATAATAATTGTGACATCAATAACTATATAGTACTGCAAATTCAATTACATTATTTAATGATATCAATTTTAATTTTTAAAGTATCTCTATGTCTGTATGTGTTATGTATTTGATTTAAAATAATTTTGTATTTTATTTTGTGTCTGAAATGAAATAAATACAATATTTGATTATATAATTTGGATATTATATTTAATTATATTTTCTTCTTTTAATGAAAATCCTGATAAGATGACAATTCTTACTTACCTAGCAAATTTAACATGAGTAATTTTTTATTAGTTTAATAACACTTTACTTTGTTATTTGCTAGTCAATTATTTAAAAAAATATAAACAATAATAATAAGCATCATATATAAAAAGAATTTTCACAATCCTTTCAAGATAATTAAATACTACTTATAAATAAATTCTATCTATTCTATCAATTAAAATCTGTTAAATCTTTTTAAATGTATTTATTTACTTTTCATTCAAAACTAATTATACTATTGATATAATATTAACTCCTAACCAATAAATAGAAAAACAGTCAGAAGAGAAAATATTTTAACCATCTTTGAAAACATTAAATTAAAAGGCAAAAATATAATTCAGTTATTAAAGTATAATATTTTTTATGTATTAAATACTGTTTCAATACTCAGCAATTAACAGTTCTTATAACTAATTTTTCTATATTGATATATTTATTTATTATAAATGGAAAATTCCATACTTTATAAACTACAGAATTTTCCACTTACGTTTTTAATTTAAATTTTTTAAAATTAAAATATGCTTTGTGTGATTTGTAATCGTTTTTTGTTTCGAAAAATAATAAACAACAAAAACAAGTTACAAATCACATGAAGCATTTTTACTTAAAATCTCTTGGATCAAGTAAGTATATGTAAGTAGATGTAAAATAATTTAAATTTTATTTATTATTTTTCATATTTTGTTTAATTTTACAACTGAAATTTCATTTAATGTAGCAAATTGAAAAAAATTGTAATGAAAAGTTTACTGTAAAAGAATATTCCAGCATTTGTTAAACTACCATAAATGCAATAATTTCCTGAACAAAAATTCTTATTAGAATCAGACAAGCATTCATGCACACAAGCATAATCAATCATGATGTGCATGATGTAGTGAACTAATGGCCAAACTATAGTTTCTTGTGACTAATAAATAAAACATGAAATTTTAATATCTTTTAATAATCCAAAATTTATAAAAATATTCAAGTAAATAATTTAAAATGTTAATTTTGACAAGTCAGAATTTTAATTATAAAACAGAACTGGCTCATCCATTAAACACTATAGACACATATTTAGCATAGCCAAATTTTAAAGGTAAGAATATGTGAAAGTATTATTTATTTTATAAAAAAGAATTTTTATAAAATACTATTATGTGTAATAATATAACATTGAGAAGTGATTTACTCACTTATCTTATTTAAATGTCACATGCATTCAGAATGGATAAGATGAAACAATACACATATTACAAGTACAAACACTTCCACAAAAGCCTTTTTTTTCACACAATATAATGTAGAACAATTGAAAATTGTAGATGTTTTACACAATGATAATTAACTGTTACAGTATCTTTTGAAAGTAATTAAGGATATTTGTTTATTTTCTGTTGAGAATTTGGTATGTTTCCATCTTTATCTGAACTGCAAAATCTTTAGTAACCTTCTAAAATCATGGGCATCAATCCATATGGGACAGAGAGGATGTTCTCCTAATAGTTTTGTATCAAAAAATTGTTCCTCTTCCAGCATATTTTTATTTTATACCATACCACAAAAATTAAACGTATAAATGAGTACTGTATACAACAAATACACCTTATTTTGTACATCCACTCAATACCCTACAATGAGAAATTCTTTTTCTCATTGTCATTGACCTGTCCCCAAATATTTATACGTACCAAATCCAAAAGTTAAAAAGATATGAGATATCATTTTGCTTGTATGCCAATCTGCAAGTCCAGCAGGTTGCCAAGGCTCAAAAACTATAAAATACAGGTATACCTCGACTTACGTCGTTCCCGATTATATGTCGTTTGTCAAAAAAGTATATGGAAAAATAAAAATCAAGTTTAACTCATTTTATTCAACTTTACATCTGTCCGCTACAAATATTGAAGTCGTAATATCACTAGAAAAGCGTTTAAAGCACATAAAATCACATTAAAATATATACATTTACAAGTATGTACTGTATTTACAGTACATGCATTCGTAAATTTAGATTACTTTTTTTGTACTATATTAAAAACCTAAAATTTATTTGTTTGTAAGCTTAAAATAGATCCTTATTAACCAATAAAATTGTTTGTAAGCTTAATAAATAAAATACAGAACCGGGAATGGTAATTTATGGTTTAGCCTAGTGACAAGTAGATTCGGAGACAAGTAAATTCGACTTACGTCGCTTTCCTGGAACCAATTACCGATGTAAGGCGAGGTATACCTGTACGCATACTCTCACTATTGTGAGATGACGAAATGATCTTGATAATTTGTTAAACTTCTATAACCCAATTGATTGTGAAGGCAATTAATACAATATGTTTTTTGAAAAACGTGATGAAAACGTTATCTATGGATAGAGTTTTGATGCACAAATCCTGAAAATATGCAAAATTGAAAGATGCTAAATATAGTAACATTAACATATATAAACATTGTGATTTCTGAAGATTTGAAGGGACTGGTGAAAAAATACATTAAATTGAAAAATATTATATCAAGTTTTGTATACTGTGATTATATTATAATCACCTCCTCTATAATTTTAATGATTATTTTATATAATTATATAT